CACCGTCATTACGTCGCTGTCTATCATTGTGGTAATCTAAACATTGTATATCAGCGTAAGTATGTATAATCGGCCAAAATATAAATGGGTCACTTGTGTATTAATCGGCCAGTAGGTCACTATCGTTAATAGGAATCAGACAGAAGCAGCAATAGTTTTTTTTTCGCCAATCCGCGTTTTTTTCGTCATTTTTTTTGCTTCGTTTGATGGTTTATTTCTGTTAAGCACAATAATAATTGTCGCTGCAACCGCAACGACGGGCAACTGCACGGGCGATAATGGCAGCTGGACGGCTACAAGACCAATAATAGCCTCAACTTCAGAGGTTGTGGACTACCTCGAAGGGCCGCCAATTTTTGCCCACTTCACAGTGCTATTCGCCTGTTGCCCGATGTTGGGTCGATCGCAGCAACTATAGATATCTGCGAGTGACAACGGTACACGACAGACCCGAAATTTCCTGAACTTGTCCTTTTTTATAACGAAGTTTTTCGGTGACAATGTCGATCTTTTTAGAAGCACACACACACAGAAAACTATCAATAGACGGTACAGCGGTGCAGAAGGGGCAAATGATCGAAACAAGATGGTGTGCACATGTTCACATGTGTGAACATGTGACTCTCGTCGATTTCGATAATGAAAAAAGGAACCTTCGTCTGTAACTAGTGAAAGTGTATGACATTGTAGTTTTTGGAGAGTCGGTGAAAGTTGGCCGACGGATATAGATCTAAAAATTGGCGGATCTACAACAGAAACAGACAGAAAATATTCAAGGCAGCCCATGATTGATTCAAACATAGATTTAAAACCAGTAGTCTGTTTCATTTAAAATATCTTTATCTATAACTCTAGTTGTTATTGTTCAAAATGATAGAAAGTGTATTATCCATAAGATCGGCTCCTGCGCATTGATCTGACGCCATCTAGGTACTTGCAAAACGTCTGTATTATAATGTTAAACATTTAACCCTATGGATAAATTTTACGGCAAGGGCTAACAGTTCTCTAAATTTCCCACCCTCTCTTCTGATGCTCGACGCAGGTAGAATATTAGCTACAAAACTCTCTGAAGGCCTTCCATTTAAAATGTTGACGTTTATTATCAATCGTTCCTAACAGCAGATAATTGAGGACACCATTGGCCCAGTTACAATATTATCAAGTGGGTAGCTTCTTCAAGAGCGGATAAATTCTGTGCCTTTGTAGTTCGGTCTTAGTAACTTAGCTCTGCAACTACCATAATAGGCAAGTTGATTAAAGTAGGTTTCTTCGAATAATTAAAAACGTAACAAAGTTAGATGTAAAATAATGTAATCGCTGATATTTCTCACCTGAACACACTGATATTTCTGGCGATAACACGAATGCTTCCGAGATCGATAGATAGGCGCTATACTCTATGGAAAAGGACTTCTAAAAATTCTTCATTCAACTATTCTTGTCGTTTTAAGCCAAAAATTTCCCCTTTTTTCCTTTCTAAAATTGACAATTTTCGAATTATCGGAGGTTCCAAAAACGTCCCTCCAACTGGCATTCCTACTGTTATCCTTATAGAGAATATTTTTCAAATATAATAATAAACTTAGGAATCTATTAAAGTACTAAATCCACGGGAATATCTGAAAGACTTTGAAAAGTCTGCCACCAACAACAGCTGCGTCGTGGAATGAAAAAAAAAGTTCCCCAAAAAGATCGCCGTTTCCGCGATAAATAAAAATCACCCTATACACTTTACGTTCTTTTCGTCGAACATTAATACACGAATTCTAAACACGTAAAAAAAATAAACACGGTAATTTTAATCGAATGAGCTGCAGGGGTCACGAAAAAGCTGCAAAAGTCCATGTGAACCTCTACCAGTTCCATCAATTGAACGTACTCTCCTTTACGTTAAACAAACGCCACCGACCATGCCTTCGATTTGAAATGACAGTTAATATATTACATATATACAAGTGAACTTGGGGGGCGAAACTCCACTGCGACTGGGGCACAGATTGCAGCGATAACGTTTTTTGTCCATTTTACTGCCAGTGTGTCGTGCCAATCGGCGATCGCTGAAGCTTAGCGAAATTTTTGGAAGTAAGGTGAAACTGAAGCCAAAGCGGATGCAGTTTTTCTTTGGTCACGCATGCAAGGCCATAAGACATCAAATGATAATCGATTAATTTTATATTGAGTTCCGACACAGGTACACTGTAAAGGCCAGCCCGATTCGGCCTAGCAGTTGTTCGTTGTTCTATAATTTGCGAAATGAAGGATCCCAGAGCGAACTGGCAGGGATATGTTCATCAAAATAAACTGATACCTTTGCGTGCCGTGGCTAGTTTAATAACATTCAAGTTTTTATTCGGCTGTCCTCAGTTGCTAGTTGAACAAGATAGTTGGCAGGGAAATAGTTTACGTCTTTAGCATTTTATATTGGCAGTGGTAAGGAGAAACTTAATAATTATTTTGTGCTAACATCGGGGCAGTTAGGTACAGGTTGTTCTTGATCATTCGATTTTTATGAGAAAAAAAATTTGAAAAGATACGCAAGTTAGCTAATCCCGCCCACCGGGCAGGGTTGTGTGAGGTGCTTAAACGGAACTGGAAAACATTTGGTTAGGGGTGGGTATACGTTTGCTATTTTTCGATGAGATGATACACCAATCTCTAGTATATATAATTAGTAAGCAGAGGATCTATCACTAAATTATAATTTCTCTATAAATGAGTAGCTAAAACAAGAAATAGAGGTAAGCTATAGTAATCATTGGGCTCTTCATCACGTTCAAGATTCTTATACTACCATCAAATCTGTGTGGCATACTATTACTTTACACACGTACGTTCAGAACAAGTTCTAAGCTGGATCGAAAGGATGGTATCTTAAATCTGGGAGAAATATGACAAGCAAGTAACGCTACGTCCAACCAATGTAATTCCGTAGTTTTTTTTTAATGAAATTAGCTCATTCTATATTCTCTGTTCTCGGTAATTTCCTTGTGTAGTAACCACTGAGAACAATGTGTGGGCGCATTTAACCGAAAAAATGCCTTGCGGTGTACAAAACGCAAGATTTACAGATTACAAACTTCTATTATGAAAGAAATGGAGCAGATTACCTCTGGATCAAAATTCTATCAAAAACACTATCTTGCCTTTTTGGCGTATATTGTCGGGTTCAGGGTCTATACATTTAAAGAAGAAGGAAATGTTGGGTGTAACAAAAAAAATTAACTGGAAGCAGCAGCAGCACCTCTTATTGCCGGTAAATTTCTTGATGGGTCCATACAAGTAACGTAGTTGTTTGCGATATAACCAATCGCGTATTAGCAGAAATATGGCGATGAAATTTTGTAAATAGTTTTCCTATGTTATTAGTAGACGTAAATGTTTGCCGTTTTGATACATTGTCCTTGACGTCCAACTGATACGAAGATCAGATTGTTTTTACGTGAATTCAACCGACTGTAATAATAATACTAGTGATTTTCACTTAGTAGCAAACTAAGTTGATACTATTTTAGGAATTTACATGTATGCATCGAAGCTCGAGATTACTCAGCACTTTATATATATATCAATTATGTCTATTGTACAACCCACTGACATGGATTACTAATGGAGGATCTCGATAGAAAAACAACTAAGCAAGGCTTTCATAGGCCTCCCTCCTCAACTAAAACAGTATTTATGCTGGACATTTGCATCGAGTATTGCTTCAGGCTCTAAGTGCCACCTAACAGGCATACCTTCGAGGCCTATACCTGTCTTACCCCATGAGCACCTTCTGCTCCCCCTAACTCCAGGTCGCTACGTCCTTCCCACTGAATATTAGCAATTAGACCAGATGACCCAACAAATTAGTAAGCAGACGGGAATGAGCTGCAAAATTTGGTCAGACGTACTCTTCTGCGCTGTGCATTCATATTTGCCATCTCAAAAGCCGCCGCCGCCGCCGCCACCGTTCCCTGATGCCCCATCTCTTAACCCCTGCCTGCACGCTACATCCACGCTGAGATAACGGTCTGACTCAGTATTCAGGTTCCCGGCAGCGGCAATAACAGCAGACACAGAAGTGTAAACAACACCAGCAAAGCAATGATAGAAATTACCGTCAATGGTCAAGCTTAATCTAAATGAGTCAGGTGCGACTGTCACTTGAACAGGGGTAAAGTATTGGGGCCGACGAGGCACCCTGTCAGCTGTGCCCTTTGACGGAACACTGTTTGGAAGCCGGCATCATTATTCGTGTTTTCACTGCAATTGTTACTTGTGGTGATCCTGGTGAAAGAGAGGTAGCTGAAAATGGGGGCGGCTGCAACGGCAGCAGCAGCTGCAAACGTCGCGCCGTCTTGTCGATCCGATCTACTCTCTCCAACAAAGCAAATGTCCTTATCGTCGACGACTCTTTCTCTTCTCATATTATGGGAGCAAAATCGCCATCTACAGTCACTCTACTGTATTCTTGCTGGCCGCTATACCCGGTGGAACAATAGCGACAGCGGTAGCGGATGGGTGCAGCCAATCAGTGTAGCAGTGTCTCCGATCTTGTAAAGAGTTGCGGCAGCATAAGACATACATGTAGCGACGGACGTAGCTAAACAATTTGGCACGCACGCGTCACTATAGACGGTTAAGTGGTTCGCTCGTATGGGAGAGATGCACGCTAAGGCCACTGCAAAATGGCGTGCTCGTGCATAATTTCAGTTAGCGTCGGCTTGAACGACCTTTTTCGTCAAATATTAGTGAACTGCTACCAGTTTAGATAAGATTATGTATACGGTAAAAACATACATATAAGAAAACGTCAAGACCTGCACACAAAACAGAGCCGTTAAAATAACGTCACTAGCCACTTCAGCACATCTGTTGTTGGGGCAACACTCAAGAGTCACGGAACTGGTGCACGCGTATCTGCGAGGGACTGGATAGCAGCGTACCGGAATCGCCGTATCAAATTAGTGGACGAAAATGGTCTGAGAGGTAATTAGTATTTTTTTACCTTTATCTATCTCATTGCACCCAAAGTGGTAGCCGGTCGTCGTATGCAGCTCTCATGGCTTATCTGGATCGCAACAAAATGTGCCGGAAGCAGACGGAGACATGAGAACGATAGCGATCAAAATAGACAAACATTAGAGAACCGTACCAGAACGCATCACACACAGTGATCAGTGAAAAGGCTTTTTCTGGTAAAAAAAAAAAAAAAAAACGATCTTGTCTGCAATTAGCAAAAGATAGTGGTGATTTAACCAAGTTCTTCGTATAAATTCAACGCTCGCACAAGACGCCCAAAGGTAAACCAATTCACATTTACTGATCTAAGTAAATAGGCGATTCGATAGAGGTATGGTAGGGTAAACATCGCGTTGTACATGGGCACAAGGTAAATGCATAGACATCAGCACATTAGGATAGGCTTATTGTTTGAAAGCAATAGTTCTCTGCCTTTTCTAGGAAATTGGCTAATTTTTCAATGTACATTTACTTCTCCATATGTTATAGAGCTGGTAGGTACAAAGATGTAACTCTAAAATTGAACAAGCACAAAAAGTTCCGTTGAGTCCAGTCGTTGGGAAGTTAACAAAGTTGTTTCAAAGTTTATTTTTCACTCGACAGTTTTATTTGAACCTTTACGCTGTAGGTGTATGTATTATTGCCAGCTTCAGTCAATGTCGCTCTTTTTTCGTACGCACTAGTAACTAAAACGTAGATGCTGCACGTTTTACTGCCATTAAGCTGATTCCCAATAGTGAATCGAGTGTGTCTACACTTAGTTTCAACAGGTTGTTGAAATTTCATAAGAGAACACATCATCAGCGCATCATAACGGGAACGATAGTAGTAGTCACCGTATTTTGCATTGATCTTGCAAATCAATAATATAGCGCGATCCTTACAAGGTACGCCGAAGGCCTGAAAGCCTATCGGAGAATGATGTCATCGAGACGATCTTTTCCATGGAGGCATACAATAGCAAATATTAACAAATAACCACATATGAAAGAGGCTATTAGTTCATCCATAGGTAACTATCGTAGGAGCTGCCTGCCACAGCCACCGTCAGCTTCTCGCAAAATTCAGGTCAAAACAATGACCTAAATAGTTTTTTTTTCTGTGTTATATAAGAATGTTCACCTGTGCCCCACATTTGATTAAATCTAAGAATCTATAACAAAAAAAAAAAGCAAACACAAACATAGTTCGTGCAATCCTTCATCTCCTTTTGATTAAACAGATTGACTGAATGTAAAAATAGGATGTTATTTTTACTATACGAAGCATATCTAGGAAAGATTTCTAATAATTATGAGGCTTTAATGACAGACGAACAGAATTATAATTACTGGCGGGTTTTATCTGTCTTTCTCTAATACCGACTAGATCTGGCAAGGCCGTTCCGCCTGCTACAGGACCATAGACAAAAGGAAAAATATGAATATAGAAATTAATTTTATAACCTGTAGCTATAAGGTGCTAACTAAACTCATAGTATTGAGAAAACGCTACTATAGTAGTTAGCCATATCTGGGATATGGGAAGAGCGAATCCATACTTCTTCGCACGGATTCATTGTTTTCAAGTGAAAAGGCGGGAATTGGTGGAAATCCGTGTAACGTTTTGCTGAGCATGAGTAGATAATACTTACATTAAGCTTTTACAAAAAGATCGTCGTGAACCGTTTGTACGTATGGACACCGAATGTTTTAGGCAGTACCTATTTGTTGGCGCCTTTTTGTTTACTGTTCGGTTTGGATTATTGTGACCTCATAGAATTCTATGGCGAAAGAAATCAAAGAAATTAAAGAATTAATTAGGAAATTATATTGATTGATTCAACTCATGGAATATGCGCTATAATTGATCCTAAGCAAAGTTTTGGACTTTGTTTTCCAATGTCATACATGGTCAGATTAGCAGTGACTAATTGTCGACAGAACGCGAAAAAGTTTTATTTTTTTCTTTTTTCTCGGCCACAGTATACATACGAATTTCGGACAAAAACACTAGCTTTTGTAGAAGAGGTTTACGTACCAATTCTGTGAAACCGTATTTTGTCCGGTTGAAGTATGTCAGTATAATTACGTCTGTAAAAGGTTTCCAGTTCGTGGACCTCTGGAAAGCAGCTCAGTTTGTGCGCATTATTATTCAAAAAATAGCTTAATTACGGTAAGGGAATAAAATATCTGTTAGCTTGCGGTGCGCTGTTGGCTCGTGCATTACAAGGTTCGACAAACTAAACGACAACGGACGCCCCCCAAAAAACAGCATCTTGTGATTAATCAAGCGATCCGCTTGGTTTGTTCGCCTGCTAATTGTCGTTGGAAATGAATTTCCAATAAAACTACAGTAATCCCGTTCGCTAGTTTAGTGAGAGCTGGTGCCAAGGTTTACAAGGGCTACAATAGCAATGGATCATGAAGGATAATAATCTATTCCGATTCGTATTCATTTCAAAATAAAAGGATTTGAAAAAAAGTAGCAAAAAGTGGACCAGTGCAAAAGTCAATATCTGCAAAAAAATTTTTCATATGTAGATGTATCGAAAACTACGTGATGCCAGCGACACAAAATTTAGCAAAAAAAGAAGCTTTACAAAAAAAATCGAATTTCATAAGACGAGCCAAAGCCAGACGACACCGGATAAATGATCTGTCCATTGTTTTTATCGTTTTATGAAATGAAGCTAGGTATACTCGTTTTCACTGTATTTGCGCAAACAATTTTAGCACAAAAATGGCAAGGCGCACAACGCAGGTGAAAATTTGTTTACTTCTACAGAGGACCCAAAAGATACTGAAGGCTATATCCGGCAACATTTGGTCTCCCCACAAAATAAATCAAGCGTCACAAGATGGATGGTTTTCCAAATGACGTTTTTTTACCCTTTATTTGCAAAGGTCGCAGCAATTTGCGCGCGACACCGGATTTTGAGTTGAAACAACTAGATTGTCGCCGTATGATAGCCTTATCATTGTACTTGGCAAAACAAACGAAATATTACCTTTTAAGCCTTACTTCGAAAGGCTAGAATTTTTTCAATTTTTATGTAACAAAAATGCTATATTTTTCCCGCTTTCAAATACGACAATCTGGCTGTCGAAAAGAGATCTCATCAATTTCTCTGAATGCTAAAGTATGAGACGTTCCACTTTGTGATAATGACGTGACAATCAGCCAACAGAATGCCTTCGTAAATTCACGTATCAAGAGTGAACGTGCCGCCGTCTTCATCCTCATGTGGAGTTAAATACTGTAACCGCAAACCTAAAGTCAGGCATTGTTCGATTATTCTTATTGACCCATCTGGGCCTAACACAGCTAGGTACACCGCCAAATACCCAGATAAGGGCAATGTGATGCCGACGCGTTTCGTCATCAAACATGGGCGTAATACGAACCGCGAATTTATCAATACCACTACGTTCGGGCCATTAAACGCACGTATGCCCCAGCGAATGTCGCTGTTTGCTAGCCGCCATTTGCCAAAAATCGTTCGACTGCGGTCAACGTTCTATGCATTGAAAAGCAGCCAATGATCTTTCTTGATTTTTTCAGTTAGTAACATTCAATGCTGATGGTTACGTTGATCTGCATAGACGCAATAGTCGTTCAGGTGTTACGTTTGTCAGGCTGTGTTTAGTCGTGTTCACACATCGTACATTATCGCTGGTTCATCCATTCCCATTACACTAGTTAGCTATGGAAAAACGGCCAACGAGTTTGCCGGAGCACTTCAATAAAGTCTCTGTTTCCTGTACGGCCAGTAATCCGGCTTTGTTCAGAAATTTTTCAACGACCAATACATGTAAATCTTTGTTAAGAATGGCCTCGCTCAGCCTTCGAGTGTCTTAAATGAAACATTATGCGGATCTTAACGTCTCACGTACCACGTTCTGTCAGTAAGTGCTCAGTAAATTGCACCTGTGTATGAAATATTACTAGCTATAACGTTCAAATAAACAGGCAAAGTAATCAAGACCTCCTCATCACGTTTTATTCCCAAATAATTTCACTAGGCGTGGAAAGTCATGTTCTTCTTGAAGTAACGCACGTTCACGTTCGAGGGAGGCTGAGACAGTCTACTGATGACGATATGATCAATGACAGTTAGCTGGCCCAAAATGCTACTGTCGGGACGCTGTCTTGTTCGTAGATTGCCATATCAGTTCTTTCCGCGGCAAATGCCGATTTTGCTAGGGATACCGATTCGTTTGCTTGCCAGCTAGCTGACCGACGACAGAGTGGCGGTGCCACGATCAACTTGTCCGTTTGATGCGTTCGTTTCTTCTCTCCTAGACGGCAAATGCTTGGGCTATCATTGGTCCTATTGCCTTATCGGCCGCTTGATGGCTACTAATTTTGTTATCATCGAAGTTGCAATCATAGTCGGTGCTGAACACCTGGAACAGCATCGGCAAGGGCAGTCACTGCGGCAGAGCGTTCGAGTTTGAATAAATTCCAAATCTGCTTTGATTTCTAGCTGCCGGGCTTCAGCGGCTGATCTTATCGCACAGCCTCGAGCCAACAGCTGAGCTAAGACTCGAACTGAAGAAAGATTGCTACGCCTGAACTTAGACTATTGACTATCCACTTACGTGTACGACGCTCGAAGATCGTCTAGCGACATCGACTACGTATGTCAGCGGATAATAACAGGAACGGCAGTTATACATGTGTATCAAAAATAGATTTTATTACCATTATCTAAAATACAGCTAAAAAGAAGTTGGTTGGTTTATACAGATATTTGGCGAGATAATTCAACATGAGGGACGTTCTTAGTTCAACAATAACGTTGTAGACGATACGCGATCCATAATTGATACTAGTTTAATTAGCAAAAAGGCATAATTTCGCTATAAAATCAATAGATTAAGTTTTGTCATTAGGATAGAAGCGGGTTCGTGCGTTATAGCTACATTGATTGGAACTTGCAGCACCAGAAGCTAACCCACCGAAAATAAGTCGCGCAGTAGTACTATAAATAACAGTAGCATTTAAAGAAAGGACAATGTGTCCTTAGTTGCGTGCGTATTTGAATCTGTTTTCCTCCTAAGTCAAGCGGAGCTACCGTATTAGGACCAGAAACGGACCAAACGCTTAGCAAGTTCGATTTTACCTATTTGCTACACTAGCAAGTTGTTCACGAGCGAAACACAGCGTATGGACGCAAAATAGCTTTGACAGAAATGCGTAATACCTAACTTCTCGAGGATTTACGTTGATAAAGAACCCATGTACATGTTGCGCTGAAACTGACGAGGAATAAAATAATGTCGCATAGAATTCTGCA